CCCCAAAACCCCAAAACCCCAAAACCCCATATTAAAATAAGAAGTTGTATATTTGAAATAATTTAAATAATCAATTAAATTACTTTATGATTAATGATTATCATTAATTCTTTAACATCTTCATCTCTCTAATTTTATAATGAGAAGCCCTAAATGCTATTTCATCTTTTTTCTTAATTTTGTTTTATAATTTCACAAATTCCATAAGTACATGATAATATCACACCAGCAAATATAATGTTACCTAAATTAAATGGAGTCTAATTACTACTTGTATCTTCGTCTCTAGGTTTAGGATCTGCTTAAATTGGAACATTTCCTTGAGATTTAAATTACTTAATATCCATGTTTAAATCATCCCAAACTTTATTTTCATATAGTTTATCACAATACGACTATTTATTAAAATCTTTAGTTCCCTCTAATTTTTTAATTTAACTTGCAATAGCCTTGGCAGGGTAACTCTTGAAGTCATTTAAATTCAGATTTTGTTTTAATTTTGCTATCTATTTTAGTTCTTCTCTAGTTGGATTACAATTAAATTTGTTGTAATTTTGAAGCCATTTAACATTTTAAGGTTCTAAAAGAATGAGCAAAGCGTGAAAAGTAGCAATCAAATCATCACCTTGATAATATTCTTCTTCATTTTACATCGCAGAATATGAAGATGTTAAAAAAGAAGTATTTTCCTATGGTTATTTTGGAATTTGAACTTGATTGCTTAATTGCTACAAGAGATCTTATTGTTTGAACTTTATATCATAGTTGCCATCTTCAAACTCTTGGATTATAAAGCTTTCTAAAGTGATATTTTTATGAATTTTTCCTTCAGAATGATATTACTAAACAGTCAAAAAAACTTTTTCTATCAATTCTTCTATCTCATTTTCTCCTAGATTAAGCAGAACTGTTTGATAATAATTCAAAAGAGATCGTTGCTAAATTGATTCTATTTACTATAATTCAATATTTTCGCTTTCCTTTTATTCAACTTACTATGACCATTAAGACAAAACTTTAAGATGCAAATTGTATTGAATGATAAACTCTTGCTATTTGAGAAGGTCAAATTTTTTAGAAGAGAATTGATTCTGGTTTATAAAATAAAAGCCATAGATCGAAGGCATGTTGTTAGCATCCCATTTCACATATTCAAGGTCTAAATCCTAAATGCCAAGATTTTATTAGTATGCAGCATCATCTCCTGTTATGAGTTAAATTTGAATATCAATGAACTTGAATTTCTTGGAGGTTTCAGTCATTTGCTTTCCATTTCTTTCACTTACCAAAAAGAAATCAAAAGATTTGAATTCATCTTTGCTGATAATAACTAGTGACCCTGGCAGTAATTTCTTGCTTGTCATCCAATTAGATTTGCCTTTTTCAAAAATTCTTAAGGTAATAGCAATGTCTGGACTATTTCTCGTTATAGTCAGATTATACAATGCAACTTCATCATAGAGTTTTACTCCAGCATCTCTTAAATCTCTATTAAGTTTCTTTTATATTTGATAGTTGCTTTAATCTTGTATTTATCCAAGGTTTTATTGCCTATAAAAATGGTACTACAAATTTTAACTTACTTGCTCATTACAGAAATTCCTTCTCTTAATGGTCTAATTGCATCTTCTCTTAATAATCTGTATACAACATCTAAATAGTAATGGGTGTTTTAAAACACTCCTTCTGTTGGCATCTTTCTCAGAAATGGTATGCCATCTTTTTATAATTCATGAAAAGTAGGTATTACATCAATATCCTAAAAGTCATCAGGAGGTTGAATTATGAGGTTTAGATCTTCTCTCATCGCTTTAGACTTTTTCTTCTTCTCCTCAATTTATTTCTACTCTTCTTATGTTTCTTTCATATATTGCATTTTCTTCTCTTTCAACTTTAATGCCATAACTTAGAGTTCTCCAACAAAGCTGGCATATAAATCAAGTGGATCGTATAAGTCGAGAATTAGTGTGACGTCATCCATAATAAAAGTAGAGATTGCAGAAATGGGTAATTTGTGAATCTTTGACTTAAATTTATCAATTAGGCTAAGAAGTAGCTCAAAAACTAGCTTTAGATCATCCAATCTAAGTCTTATATCATTCATACTTCGAATATTAAGATTCAGTTCAGGCACATATTAAGTACTAAACTTAGTAAAGAACTAAGATTCCAAGAAAGCAGAAGAAATTATATTAAGCTCAGTTTGCTGAACATTTTTGTCAAAATATATTTTATGCCAAATATAAATAAATAGAGAGTAACCTCGGGTCGAATATTTTGTTGCATCTATTGAAGCTGATAGATCCTTGGTATTTAATAAATTATCAACTATCTTTGCTGGCTCAGATAATTTAATGCTCTCCAAGTCAGGGTTGCTAAAATACCTTGTTTTAGTTTTATTTTCTTTAAATTATGGCTGACTTAGAGTTTAATCTGCCTAGGTATTCTCATACCCTCTTCCTCTTCCTCGATTAAAAGGTTAAGTACCTCTATTATTATTATTGTCGAACCCTCTACGCTCAGCTCTTCCTCTATAGCCTCCTCTATCACCTCTATCACCTCTAGTCCCTCTACTTCCTCTTCCTCCTCTAAAAGTTTCATTTTCAGAAATTTGCTCCTATGTAGTAGGAGATTGCTGAATAGAATGATGAGATTCATTGTTTTTAGATTGACTAACAGTGCCAAATCCACTTCTAAATTAATTTGAAGTCTAATTAGGATTAGAATAAGAATTATTAGCAGTATTATTAGTTTAAAAATTCCTTATTGGTTATGCCGACTTCGGTTAAAAGTTTGTTTGATTCTATTAGTATGATGGCACTGGCTGCTAATTATAAAAGGTATCATTTTGATTTCTATTACTCCAAGTAGGTACTTATTAATCACTATATTGAAAATATGTTACAAATGGATGGTTAATAGAATAATAAAATTACTAGTTCTAACTATTGTTGTTTAGTTCTTGAGAAAGCATGTTTATAACATTACCAATATCAAGTGGAATGTTATTTTGCATTATATTCTAGTATGATTGTTTGGGATAGTAATTTCCTGCTGCAAGATTGAATCTAGAGGCACCTTAAGGTTAATTCTTTTTCTCCTCTTCGTACTATTATATTCTTTGTAAGTCTTAGAGAGTCATTTGCTATTGTTATTAATATCTATAGCCACCACTTCCTCTGGCTCTACCTCTTTGCATATCTTTATTCAGAATTCTTTATAATTAATTACTTACAGGAAGTTAAGGATTTATTTAGATTAAATTTTGTAGATCAATAAAATGATGATCCTTTTATATTTATTTAAAAAAGCAAATCCACATTTTTTGATTAAGTTAATTTCAGAATAAATTGATTGGGGTTTTGGGGTTTTGGGG